AGGAGGGACTTTGGCTGGCCAATGTTGGCCATAAAGCCTGCTGAATGATATCGTAGTCTTGTTGATTTCTACCAGCTAACCACATCGGACACGTCACACATTCCATAGCCATAATAGACACGGGTTCTTACATGGCTCCCCACCCCCTCACTAACACATGCCGAATCAGGTTGGTTCTGTTACATTGAGAGAGATTTTCACATAAATAATTTACGCGCCATTTCCTGTTTAGTTTTTTATTTCATATTTTAGTACCATTTGAACATTAGGGCCTAACTGGGTGTTATCAGGACTGTCATATAAACATAGATCTACACGTCTATATTATTACACTCCTGGTGTGATCCTATGTAATGTAACATTAGCTTGAATTCCTTAGCTAAAGCATTCGCTCCCCTCTCCATTTCCATTTTAACTGCATTTGGTAGTCAGTACTAGTACTACTACCCCGTAGTCTGAGCCTGGGGGCCGTTGTCAGAAACAAAATTTGTCTTAACATTAGTCTTAACATTAACTTCCACTCGTAAACCGTTGACAGAAACATCGCAAAGTTACGAGAATGAAAAATCCTCGAAAATATCCTCTTAACATTACGAGAGCACAGACCCTCTCGTAACTTTAATATTAAGTTGAAAAGAACACATTTGCACCACGTAGTCATTAGCATTAACTTTACGATGTTTCTGACAACGGCCCCCTGAATTCCAGGAGAGGAATCCGTATCTCCTAATTGGAGCCTGAATTCCGTAGCTGAAGCCCGGAGCACCTATGTCGGACTGTACATTCCTGACTTCTTCCTGCGCCGACGGACGATGGTAGTAATGGAGGGAGGGAAGGGGAGGAGGAGTGGCGTGCGGACAAACCGGTTTCCGTAGAATGTTTACTAGTCTCGCGCGAGCATTCCCGAACAACCCATGTCTGTTGTTTTCCTTTCGCTTGACAAGACCCTCCAGTAATATCGCAAGGGGCACGCGTTAATAGTCAGTCATTCCTATACATGGCCTTAGCAACGTCTCTCTCTTTCGGCAGACCGGTGCGCACACGGCAGAATAGCTCTAGAACTATATAAACCCTTCGTTGTGCCACAGGGCTAGAGCTACCGGCAAAGCAACAGTGAACACGCGCGGGTGATGCGACCAGACAGACTAGCTCAGAAGATTATCTTATTAGCTCCTCAACGCATTCAGATCATGTCCGTCCTGTGGCGCGGCTAGTTCACAGAAATGATAATGCCCGCCAGCGCTATAACTTGTTTTAGGCATGCAGTAAAGAATGCTGATTATGTATGGGCTAATCATGAAGTAAGCTGAAGTAAGTATGGGCTGATTCCTCTGCCCCACAGCCTCAGCCAGCTAGCTGAGCAGGAGGAGCGCGTGGAAGCAAGTCTAGGTAAACAACGCGCGGAAAGCGATGAGTAAATAAATGAGAGCTCAAACACTCAGCGCACAGATCCTTGCTTGGTTGATGGCAGGTGCGAGGAGAGACAATCCTACAGGACCATCTTGGAGGGGGAGGGGGAAAAGCAGATCATCTAGCTTCATCATCTAGGCGAGATTTCCTACTATTCTACGATCACTAATGTCCGGTATTATAATATGGGGCGCCGATACGATATCCGGTTTAACCGGACATCCCGCGCGCTGTGCGATATTATGTGGGCTGTGCGAGTATTGTGAACATGCAGGATTAAGGACAGGATAAGCAGAGATTAGAGAGATGCCGCCACGGGCGCGCGTTTTTTTTTTTACGTTGTAAGCATTTTGTTTCATTCTGATACGTTCGATCGATTATTTACGGAAGTAAGTGAAAAATGGTGGCAGGACAAGTATATTATGCGATGTCGACAAGTCGATAAATGTGAGCACTATATAGGCTCACCCAGGCGATGATGGGCAAGAGAGAGAGAGAGAGAGAGAGAGCGAGGGAGGGAGGAAGGGAAGAGGGAGGGCGGGAGAGAGAGAGAGAGAAAGGAGAAAGAAAGAGCAGAGAGAGAGAGAGAGGAGAGAGGAGGAGAGAAGAGTGGGAGGAAAGGAAGAAAGGGATGGCAAGCGAGAAACAAGAAACGCCGAGAGAGTGAGGTAGACGAGAAAAAAAGAGAGAGATATATATATATAGATGGTGAGAGAGCAGATGACCGACGGAGGGAAGAAGGAAGGGCTGAAGAAAGAAGTACGGAAGAGGAGCCCTCTCCTTATTCCCACCAGGAGGGAGGGGCGGAGGGAGGGAGGGCAGGGAGGTGAGGGAGAGGAAAGAGAGAGAGTGGAGGGAGGGAGGGAGGGAAGGAATGCGAGGGAGGGAGGGAGAGGGAGAGAGAGAGAGAGAGAGAGGAGAGAGAGAGAGAGATGGAGAGAGAGGAAATAGAGAGAGATAAAGAGAGAGAGAGAGAGCGAGAAAGAGAGTGGGGAAGAGAGGAATGGGAAGGGAGGAAACAGAAACACGAGAGAGAGAGAGAGAGGAGAAGAGAGAGAGAGAGAGAGATAGAGGTGAGAGACAGATGAGCGACGGAGGGAGAGAAGGAAGGGCTGAAGAAAGAAAGACGGAGAGGGCTCTCTCTTATCCCACCAACCAGCGACATCGCCCCACTAACACTTCCCTTCGTTGGCTGTGTTGCTGCGTATACAGTAGTAGCATCATCGTTTGATGGGTGGTTTCACAGGTAGCAACTAAGCAAGGTGACTGGTACCCTGCCTGCTGTGTGTATGCTTTACAACAATGCACAAATGACTGTGCCGGGCCGACGTATTGACTGACGCCAGCGCCAACCAATTGCCTACTGGATTAACCCACGGCCGTGTTCCATTGTGGGCTCCCCGGCTTATTGTGCGCCGTCTATAAGCATGGGTATCTGTATTTCCGTGTGCGGACCCGTGTGGAACCGTGCACCGCCGCAAATGGGGCACCTGAAAATAAATGGGGTCAGTGACCCACGCCCGGGCAAGATGCTCCTTGTTACGCAACCCCATCACGCTGTTTCTATGGAAACCTGTCTGTTGGAAAACAAAGAGGGCATTTTGTTCCCCAACTGCCGCGGGAACCGTTAGTAAAGGTGTATAATGCATATTGGCAGACAGATTGCTTTAATAGTGTGTGATGACTTAATTACTCAACGGTGAGCATATGTAAGGGAATGTGAATTTTACACCCGACAAAGAGCACAGTGACGCTTGGACATTCTTCTTATCCCATATGCCTAGTGCACACGCCGTACGCACGCGTACACATCCTCACACACACTCGCCCGCCCCGCGCGCGCACACACGCACGTACGCAGACTTAACAAATAAACGGCAACAGGCCATTGGTAAGCGAAACCACACGTCAGATGTTCATTATGATTATATCACGAGCTGAAGAGAATATGTAAGCTAAGTGCTTAAAAAATAAAAAGATATGCCATTAACCAAATACGATGCGTTTCGTGTGCAAATAATTCCATAATTGATCTATCTCCGGTATTTCATTGCCATCCTTAACATGCTCTCGACTGTGTTTTACCGCATGTCTCTGACTGTTACATTATTTCTACTGTCCGTTAGTGAGAAAGTGTCAGTAATTGGCACGCTTTTGCTCGTGCCCTAAAAAGCGCCGTGTACTGTTGTTAGCAGTACCGGTGGTGGTTGGCACCGCTACGCTTATAGCTGCAACATTTCCGCACAAAACGAAAACAACTGACCTCCTTTGTGGGGGGCTTACTTTTTGAAGTTGATTACACCTCGTTTTTTAACGATCTACGCACTGAAGCGTGTCATATATTGTTTCCCCGCATGACTTACTAGCATGATCAGACTGGACGACTAACGTCAACGCAGATCTTTCGATTTACGCCCGTTTCTTGGATCCACTTATTAATTCCATTTTACTTAAGAGTGTATAAGTTAGCTATGTAATATGAGAAAAGGTAAATAAATTGCTGGAGATGGGTGTAAGCATGATTCAGTGGAAGATACAAGAAAAGAGAGAAGGGGAGAAGGGTGAGGGTTTCAAGTCATGAACATCAAAATACATAAATTTATTATTATTATTATTATTATTATATATATATTACTATAACTCAATAATTGGGTAAACATGTATACACTCCATATAGGCCTACACACGCACGCACGCATATTATATATATTAAATAATTTTTATATGGTTGGCAAAAAGTAGGAATTAATATACGAGTATATAAATCTAAAACACACAATATACGAGTATATAAACACACAAACTACACACAAACTACGTGTAGCGTGCGTTATACTTATATAACTTCATGCAGGCACTGATTTGCTTGTTACATCACTCACACAGCATATGGTTTCTACGGCTCCGTATCTAATTCAACGGACTAACTCAACTAAAACTCAATGAGCCACGAGAAAATCAATCCTGCTAATAACTTCCCTACTGTAAATTCCACATCGTAAAATGTGCAAAAAATAACATTTAAAAAACAACAACAGTATGTTAGCGTTGCGCTGGTATAGTGACGCGCATTATGAGACGACATTAAATCGGATATGCTTTCTCACAAACTTACGTATCGCATGAACGTCTACACGTACAGTACTATAATACTAATACTAATAGTATACGTACTCCAACAGTATTATTAGGGTTAGGAATCTGTATTATTATTTCCCGTGAGGTTCTGTCACTTCTGTGGCATCTACACACTCTAACGTTTAGGTGATTGAACGCAAACATATGACGACGTCGCGAAATTACAAAACTAATTCAAAAATTTAATTATAAACATACACAAAAATTCTGATTTACACTTATATTTTATCCATAATCTAATTAAATAAGCAATACAACCAGAAACGTCTAATAAACACTAACAGTCCACCATTAAAGTGGATCTCCGTGTCTAGATAGGAGATGTCATATGGGGGGTTTGTTTACCAACTATGGTGGCCATGTTTCGTCACTTTGGGAACCAGACTGTCAGACAACACGATCGCTGGGAATGAAACATCTTTGGAAAGTTTGCAAATGCGCTCAAAACTTACCGAATACGGCCTGTAAAGCTTGATCCTCTCCTAATACTTCCATCCTGATTTCTTCCGATCGCGTTACGTATCCGTTAACATGGTATTTTGCACGAAAGATACAACTTCGAAACTCGACGTAACTAACTTTGGCGATAACCACCTGTCTAATGTCGAGTCACGTGACCTCGCAGCTTTGCATCACATCCGCGACGAGGCCGACGTTTCGCTCAGGGGCGTCTCTCAGCTTCTCCGTACATTTTTGACCGCCGCGCGCGAGAGCTCGCTCTGCTCTTCGATAGTTCCAAGTAGCAAGAGTTCTTCGTTGATCCTCGGTGCAGTTATGCCGATTAATTGATCAATATTGTAGTACAGGGCACAGACACCACGCGGCGCTAGCTACCACGCAAAATAAATTATACATCGTGACTTCAGCATCCAGCAGTGGTTGAGGAATAATGATGACTTTTACTCGCACGCACTGCAGCCGAGCGAACGGTCGCTCAATCGTGTCAAAATATGAATAGCTGCGTGATGGCACAGGACAGGTGGCAGCATATGCCCCATCTGCAGACCTTTAGTATCCACTATTATGAGTTTAACAGTACACGATTGACGGTAAAATTGCGGACCTTGTACCTGTGGTATTATCCTAACACTAAAAACGGGACGCGATTTACAACATTTCGAATAGATTACTCCTATGACTGTAAAACGGCATAATTTCAAACTTATGGACAATATGTAAAGCAATAAAAAAAATAATCCGTCGTAAGCTTCCCATAAATTGCGCATGAATTGCCGTCATGATTGCGCTCTGAGATTGAGTAAATTCGGGAGAAACCAATTGACGTCGCGACGCCATCTGTCGGTGGATTTTTTCTATAAACCTTATTAATTTGTCGTCTAGCAGTCTAGCTCGTCATCTCTTGTCGTCTAGTTCAGCATAGAAAATTGTAATTGGTAAAATATCAAAATTAAACTATATAAATACAATAACAAAACATATAGCTAAAACCATTTAATTCGGTTTTTAATCTGTGCAAATTGATACCATGATTTTTTTTATTAAACAAATTGCACCACGTGTACACAGTATGAACGGTATTGCCTACATGATAAAATACAGTTGGGTTGTTTACGCCTTGCTCTGTCCCAACACTGCTATAACACATTTACACTGAATCTAACAAGCAAAACCAGTTCAAACCACAGAATTTTATGTAGGAAGATTTGAGTAACAAAGCACTTGACCGACATAAAATTGCCGGATATACATTATCAACCCGGAATATCACGGCATATGAGGGTTTGCTGTTTTTTCCTTTGATACTGAAAAGTAATAATTTTGATTACCTAAGAATGTATTTCATATGACCAAAACGACGTGCGTCCGACTAGAGGTTTAGTCACGGGTGAGGTCACAAGTCAGGTCACCAACCAGGTCATCACAGTGCAGGACTTGAGCGATTCTGTAAGACTTTCGGTATTTTTGGCAGTGGTGCTGTGTGCTGCCCTCTAGTGGGACGGTGGTTAATTGGTGGCAATAGCATGGATCCATCCTCTATACTCCGGCTTGGAGTACATTGCCTGAAGCAGAAGTAAACATTTTGATTATAATCAAGAAAGAATCAGGAGAACATGGAATCACCACAAGTCAAAACTAGGCATTCGCTGCCAAACTACTCATAGCTGAGATGGTGTAAACTATTTTTGCCCCAGCTCTAGAATCTAGCGTTTACCCAGGCCAGATCAATGTTCAATTTGCTATATTTATCTAAATTACATCCTGTCTATCACAATCACTTGACCCTGAATCTGAATCAACATATTTAAAGCAACGTTTAAAACAATATTCATGACTTTTCATATCATTATATATATTGTATTATACATATTGTATTAATAAATGCCATATCATTTTTCTAAATGTTCAATAACCAGGTATGTATCAAGCAGCACCAAAGCCAGGATGTGCTGTAGCTCTTGGCTATAGTGGTGAAAGGTGTGTGTGTGTGTGTGTGTGTTGTGTGCGTGCGTGTGAGAGGGGGGGGGTTACCTTCTAGCGCTCTGGCTTGGGAGATTTGGTAACTTCTGCCTGTGTGTGCTATCGCCTTCTATAGCAATGTTGAGTCTGTCAAGGAGAGCTCCATCTGGAGGGAACTTTTGTAAACAGAGCACTTCTTGGACAACTTCCCTCAACTGAACGTACCGCTGTAACAAAATCCTACAGACTTGTTGGGTGCATTAACATATTGTAAGAAAGACAGAAGTATTTCATATTACGTAAATGTGTTACACCAGAGCTTGAATATCACCATGGCACAAAGGGCAAGGACGCTCGTTCCATCCCCATTTGCCATAGTGCTTGTGAAACTTGTATGATATACATTGCAATAAATTGCTGAGGTTGCCCCCTGGATTGTCTCCGTGTTCTTCCCTTAAAACAATCATCTCACAAGTAAATGGAGAGAAATTAATAAATGAAGAGAAATTTAGTCTCACCTGTCAGCATACAGATCACCGATTACTTCAGCATAAAAATTATTACGAGTTCCTGCTGTTACAGGCTATAACACAGTAAATGAACAGCAAATGTGCGCCTGCTATCTTCATATTCGCGATAATGGAAATCCGAATGCTAAAACGGGCGCATAATGAGCAGAGGTTGGTTAAACTTCGCACCCTTATCTCACCTTCTGGGCCGTGTCACACTGCTGTACCACATGATTAATTATGGCCGAACACTCCTGCATATTGGGAGCTCGCGACCGAGTGGTTCCAGGGTTCACCAGTAGGGGGCGAAGGCTGTACCGTGCCGGAAGTCCTGCAGTGCCCGCCGAACTATGAGAGACACCATGACATCACATATATAACACATAACAAGAAACATCACACAACATATCATGAAACATCACACAATGCATCATGAAACATCACACAACGTATCATGAAACATCACACAACGTATCATGAAACATCACATAATGCATCATGAAACATTACACTTGTAACGTATCATGAAACATCACACTTGTAACGTATCATGAAACATCACACTTGTAACGTATCATGAAACATCACACTTGTAACGTATCATGAAACATCACACTTGTAACGTATCATGAAACATCACACTGCGTATCATGAAAATCACACATATCATGAAACACCACACAACGCATCGTGAAACATCACACAACAACCCCACAACATAATCATGCGTGCTGCTAATCTCAGGGAGGATTGGATACCATATTTTCCCCATATTTCCACCACAAGCACCATCTGATATTATGCCCATTGGATCTGCGTGTCACGCAAGGTCACCTGATGTTTGCTGGCTGACGTGTGAGGTTCATTAGATGATTATTCAGTGCTCTCTCCTCTTGCAGGTCTGCTTTCAACCGATGCAGCTCTGAGACAAGCGACGCAGAATTGCCTGGAGTGCTTGCATCTGATTAAGCATACATATAACGCTCGTGTGTGAGGACAGAAATCTTGCAGATTAAGAAACTTAGCAAAAGTATCTCATCATTCTTCGATTCTTATAGGTGTACTGCATAATTTTTTACTCGAATTTCAACATAACCTTTCATACCATTCCATTGTTTCCCGGAGTGTATTCTCATCCAGTATTTGAACTGCAGATCTGAAAAAATTTGGTAGAAGAATTATGAAATTATATAGTGCTAAAAGAAATGACTCAAGGGTATGAGCTGTCCACATTTGCACATGTCGCGCATTTGCGAAAATGAATTGTGGTCAGCGCTTATATGCATAAACCAAAGAAGTAATGTTATAGAACATGGAACTGTGTTAGGACCACCTAACATTTCTAGGGCGACTTAAACTCTCAATCTCAATCAAAAACCATAAATGACTCCACAGAGAATTTCATCACTAGCTTATGACACATAATAAAAGTTGGCATTGGCATCTGCCAATTGATTTATGAAGTGTGATACAATGAGAGTTTGAATTTTACAGGGTGAAAGTCATGATTATATTGCAAAATTTATCCCTACCTAGAGGTGAACTAGAGATAAAAAACAAACAACAACATTAGCAATAGCATAATGTGCAAGGACCTTTGTTATCCTTTTTTAGTTTGTCTATCTCTGCATGTAAACTATCCAACGTCTGGGTGTGGGTTTTTCGAAGAAATGTGACACTTTTCTCCAACGATTTTGCCCTGAATGAAAAAAAATCGTAGAATTAATAGGTTACTAGACTCATGATATCTACTATTTTTATACATTACATTTTGTGTAATATTAGTACTGCTAGTGCCACTACTAGTACTAGTAGTAGTGTATATATAAAATAGTGTAAATGTAATTTGTTTAAGTGTAAATAAATTGTTTGAATTGAATTGAATTGAATTGAACTAGTTCAACTACTACTACTAGTACTAGTACTAAAATATAGATACAATAATGTAACCCAACAACAGTTATAGTACTTAGGGGTTGTTTATACAGTTGTAACAGTTTGCAACCCAATAAAAATGTAACCCAACCCTACTCTTGTTGGGTTACATTTAAAGCCGCACTATGCGCATCCAAACGCTAATTTCTCCAGTACTAGACTAGCAAATAGTTCGTGACATGCATAATCACACTACCTTATGGCAAAATAAACTCTAGTTCCTCCAATTTCAGTGCGCGTTTGCCTAAAACCCACAAGAAAGAGGTGCGAAATCTGGTAATCTGGCGTCAACGTAAAATTGTTTGCCAAACAATTTCGCCAAGAATCGGTTAGGTGACGTCACATGTTTTTATCTTTGCTACACCCGTACCGCTGTACCGCAGCACTGCTCCACGGTTGCTTGCCAGAGCAACGCGAAAGTGTCAACAACATCGGATAATTTGAACAACATTGGAGGTATTTTCAAATGCCTTTTATAAGACAACGCGCAGTGAAATGGGAGGAACTAGAGTTTATTTTGTCATAAGGTAGTGTGATTATGCATGAGACTCGTTAATGGAGTAGGCGAGGTACGGTCCGGCATATTAGATAGTACAAGAGTACGTTCCGGTATACAGGTCCGACCGTACCCAGGGTACCGGTAGTGGTACGTTCTGGCAGTACCCTGGGGCTGAGCCCTGGGGGACATAAACCCTCTCAGCAACACTAACAGTAACAGTGCCAGTACCTGTCTGCAGCGTCAACATAGCAGTCAGGTTCTCTATCCACAGGGTTGATTAAAGCTCCTTCTTCAACCGATACGACCGCATCGACACCAAGGTACTGTGACGAACTAGCTCCGAGGCCCATTTGATATCGACGCCTCTCCAAATGATGCATGCGGGACCAATGTGGAAGACTGTGCACAAGAGGGGGGAGATTAACTTGAACTCCTATTCCTAATCCACCAGAGCGGAGGGCCGTGCTTTCTGTATAGCTCATGCTATCCCGTATTTATAACTGTCATGATCGCGATATTTTACTATCAATGGGAACGCTATATTACGACGGTAAGTGCTACTTATTCTAGATATAATACAGTTTATAAAACATCCCACGCCACATTTGTTTTCGTGTTGCCATGCGCTGACAAGAGAGCAGATTTTTGTTCACCAGAGGGCACTGCTGTACAGTGGGTGGAAATGGTTTTCTTCTGTGCCAAATCAACAAATTTCTAATTCTGAATTGGAAGTCAACATTTAATAGGTAAATGTCAGTGATCTGTGTATCATAATTAACAATATAAAATACGGTCCTGATAAATCAGTGTTAAAAGTGACTGCAACACGTAATTAGCTTTTAATTGTCACCTTCCTGACGCGGTACACGACACAATCTGAATCTGCCATGTCGGTCGGATTTAATCTCGGGTTTCACAATTACAAGTACGCTAACGCCCACTGTTTTGTTATTTAGAGTAAAATATGATCGCCTATAAATTAACGCATCATAACTGCACGTCATTCTCCTCCAGTAGTGTTTAAATTGACTGACTTAAGCTGTTTAAATAAATACGTTACTTACATAATTTTTAATTAACTTGCAACATGTAGGCCTCTTAGTCTTAGTCTTACTCTTAGTAATAGTATTACTGTATTACTATTAGTAAAATAGTATTAGTATTAGTACTATTACATGATGTACATGATCATACTACTACATGTACTGTCATTTTACATGATGTAGTATGATGTACTGTACATTATATTGTGTAGTGTAGTGTACATAATTGTAGTGTAAATAATTACGAATAAATTAAGTGTGTTAGTGAGCAAAGTGAGTACCCGTATATTACTGAATTGTATTGTGTGCACTGTGTTGTATGTGCAAGACACAGGAAACGTTTTAACATATGGCTCTAGGGAGTTGTTAGTTCGACCAGGCTGTGTGACTAACATCAATATACAAAAAAAAGGTGTTGTAGGTCAATATCACTTAAAAAGGTCTTCTAACCCTAGCAAAGACAGTTTCTAGGAGCTAGGAAGTTGTATGAAATACAGATACTAAATAAATTGTAATGAGCCTGTTTAATGCAATAATTGTATTTCTGTGACGTGCACAGTTGTACAGTGTGCAAATACAACCTACTTGGATAACTACAATTAACCATGAAGTGATCTATAATTTTTATTTTTTACGCAATATTACTAATAAATGTAATAATCAACAGTTTTTGGTAGTAAATACCAACAGGATTCACACAGATCTGCTGTTATATGTCAGTTTTCAGTGCTCAATTTGTAGTTTTTTTTGGGGTTGTCTGGAGGACAACCAAGAGAGTAGCATATATGGTTATCCCTCAAGAGTTTTGGTTGTCCAGATATTATTTAAACATGTGCTGCATGCGCTCTGCTCACGTGATGCTCAGTGCTGTAAAGCAAAGGGCCTAATCATGTACATTTTGTACATATTGCAGTGACAGCAGACATGGCCATTCGCATTGTTTCACTCATTATATGAAGAGAATAAAATATTGGTAATGTGGTAAATGATGCTGGGATCAATGACGTATAATAATAGTAATTGAAAGTTGCATGAAATTTATTTCATAACATTTACATTAAGTTAACTAACACTACTAACACTGTGTCAAGTCACAGATGAGTAAAAATTGAAAATTATCACGAAACATTGTGTTGTTAAACACGTGATGTTATACTTTGTATCAAGCAAGCCAGACAATGCATCTAGACAATAGACATGTACGTTTGCAGCGTATTGTGCAACCCTGGCCATATGTAAAATGAACACGCGCATTTCAAATATAAAAATTTTATAGAGGTTGGACACCGGACAACCACGGAAGCAATTTGTAGTTGCCCGAGAGAAAATCCAGTCGTCACGGACGACCGTTAAAATTGAGCCCTGGAATTTAGCTCATCTGACATAGTCAGATGTATGTCAGATGCACCTTGTAGAATTGCATGAGCGTGCGTCCGTGCGTTCGTCCAGCCGTGCGTCCGTCAACAGTAGGGCACAAATCTAAACGGCTCGACGTACGGTCACGATATTCGGGACGTGGGGGGGAGGGGGGTAATCCGAAAACGAGTTGGGATGTTGAAGCTGGGGGGTCAGAGGTCAAAGGTCAAGAGGTCTAAAAGAAGGGGGAACATTCCCTCTTTAACTTAAAGGCATAATAGGTCCATTGATTGTGCAATTTTAACGAATACTAGAGTAACTGGCACCTTGTGAAGTTAATAAGTACATTACCTTATAGCCAAACGCGTATTAGTTTGTCCAATATCACTGCTAGTTACCAAGAAATGTCGAATTGAAATCCGTAAATCTGGTAATCTGGCGCCAACGCTAAATTGCTTGCCAAGCAATATAGCCTCGATTTCGGTTCGGTGACGTCACATGTTGCTACGGGTGTTTAGCAGAGAATTGTTTGTCCTGGGATGCTTATAACAACTAATGAGCTAGTAGAATGTATCTATGGGTGTATTCTCGGTATTGAGGCACAAGTAAATAACCGTGGGTACTAATGAACGGGTACCCACATGTCTTCAATTTCAAACACAGGTGTATTCCTTTGACCAATATACGTAAATGCGCGTAGTGCCATCTGCTTTCCATGTTTAGTCTGTGGCCTTGGTTAGTCGGCGATCCCCCCATAGTGTTGGCCCCAAACCCAGCCTACTTCATTATCACGAGCGCCCGTGATTCGTACGTGGATTTTACATTTACAATCAGAGCTAGCGTAGGGCCCACTGTTACGTATACAGTTAGGGCACTGTACTATCGGTAGCGTGCCAGCTGAGCGGCAGCGTGCCAGCAACAAGAGCTTGCAATAGCTGGTATTGCAACGGTAATAGCTGGAGATGATCTCCCAGTGCGCAGAGATACTGCACATGAACGTAATAAACACGGACGCTCGTGATAAGGTAAAATGACAAGGTAAGGATATAACGTTTTATCTGGGCTGTTTGTTTATAGATAGTACGTGGGTGTCAGTTTTCGTTCGTGTGTTCTGCACCATTTACGTGTTTCCCATTTCATAGTGTAATAAACCACCACAATTAACCCACCACAATTAAGACCACAATCAACCCAATCCACAATTAAGACCACAATTAAGGATCGAAATCACTGATGATAGCATTGCGTACAGCAGAGTATGCGTGCGAAAATGTCCGGTGTACTATAAATCTGTATCACACCCGCTTCGCGGCAGCTTTTTGAAAATGTGGCCAACCGATTTTTGGACTGCGGATTTCAATTCGACATTTCTTAGTAACTAGCAGTGATATTGGACAAACTAATACGCGTTTGGCTATAAGGTAATGTACTTATTAACTACACAAGAGGCCAGTTACACTAGCATTCGTTAAAATTGCATAATCAATGGACCTATTATGCCTTTAAGGTATAGGGAGGAAATGCAGAATTGCGGCACAAATCTAAACGGCTTTCCTAGGCTCGTGATAGTCGGTGTATAGCATCATGGTAGGAAAAGCCATCACTGTGCCGAAATT